GTGAGCTGAAAATGGAATTTGCAAACCAGCCACCACCTCGCCCAAAATTACACAAAATATGTTGGCTTGGAAGCATTTTCCTCTCTGATGGAGAAAGAAAAACTCCTGTCTTGGAGCTCCTGGAGCACACAGACCTGTTATTTATTGATGGTGGTTGAAGCCCTGTGAAGAGGGAGGAGAGGAGGGAGGAGGTGAGGAAAGGGCTCCCACCCAATCTCCCAAAACCCACAAATTCCCTGCCAGGATTTTTTTTTTTGGGGGGGGGGGGGGGAATTGGGCCCTTGGTCAAAGCAAGGAAAATATTCCAGTTTGTTGCTGTTCCAAAGCACACAGGGGTGTCCACAGGCACCTCCTGCACACCCAGAGCATCCCTCACTGCCATCCCAGCCCCTCTCCACAGCAGGAACCAAATTCCAGGAGCTGGACTTGATGGTCCTTCCAGGACAGGATATTCCATGTAGTTAAACAGCAATTAAAGCCTCTGGAAGGCACAGCAGCAGCAGCAGCACATTCAGAGGCAATTTAAGCCTCACTTGCCTGTGAAACCATGAGAGGTAATTTTAGAAATCTCTTAATAAAAGCAGCATTTCCTCTGTTCAAACTGGGTAAGAAGCATGAGAAAAAGGAAAAAAAAACAAACAAACAAACAAAAAAACCCCAAAAATGGGGTTTCCTCATGACAGAGATCATTAGATTTCACAGGGAAGTGGGAGAAAACCAAGGGGAAGAGGGAGGACATCCCAAATCAGCTCAAGGTCAGCACGGCCAAGGGAGATGGAAGGAGAAGGCCTGGATCCAGGTACCCATTCCCCAGGGATCCATCAGAGAGGAGCAGAACAGCCAGCCTGGCATCAGCACAGAGGAACCTCTAAAAAGCTGCAGTGTGACACTATCCAGACTTCATTACAGGAACTGACTGCCAGGTTTTCAGGTTGTTTTATTCAAAAATAAAAACCAACTCCAGGATTCTTTGCACTCTCTGGAGTGATCCCTGCCAGCCCCAAAATGGGATTTGTTCTGCAGCTCTCAGCTCAGGCTGAGCACCCCATCCCAAGAGTGCTGGGAAAAGTACAACAAACCTGATAAACCCCTCAGAAACCATCCCAGAGGGAAAGTTAAAAGATGAATATGGAGAGCTCAGCTGAGGATGAGCTGATGTGGTGGCAGGACAGGTATTGGGGGATGGAAATGTTAAAGAAAGCAAAACAAATCACACTGAAATGCAGCTCAAACTGATCATCCAGAGGGGAAAAAAAAAAAAAACAAACCAAAAAGGCTGAAGAACCCTTGGAACAGGAGCCTTTGGAAGTGAGTTAGACAAACTCTGGGATTTCTCTTAATTGAGCCAAGGCACTGAGATCATGTGCTGCAAGAGGCTTTTCCTTCTCCAATTGTCTGTTAGATCAAAACAAAAAAGGAAAACAACCCAAGGTGCCAGCAGGATGCTTGTCCTCAGCCTTACAAGCAATCCATTCTCCTCTCAGCCTGCTGGAAATAAATCCAGGGAGAAAAGCCTTGGGCTCTGTCACCTCAGCCAGCCAGACACAATGCAGGGCTACAGAGGGCAAGACACGGAAAATTTAATTTTGAAATAAAAATTTAAACCAGAAGTGGTTGCACAATGGCCTTGAGTTCTGTGCAACCCCCAGAAGTGCAAGATACAACCCCTCCTGCTTTACAAGGTGACATAAAAGTGACACCAAGTGTGTCCCCACATCCCTGCTCGCTGTTTAAGCCAATCTTACTCCATTCTTCTGTCCCAGCCAGTGGCTCCAGGGAGCATCAGACCCCAGAGAAATGCAGGGAAGAGGGGGAGGAAGGAGACAATAAAAACACAGCACCACTGTCAGCTGCCTCCCAGGTGGTTTGGGAGCAGGCCAGGGCTTTTGGATGAAAAATCAAGTGGTTCTCAAGGAAAGTTAAGTTGTCCTTAAGACCCTTCTGTCCCACATCTTGTTTGTAAATCCATGGAGCATATCAGGGGTCCACGGGAGCATTCCTAGTGGCAAAACAATCCATGCTGGACAAACACCCTCCTGGGAGAGGCTGTGGGGGGACCATCCCAAGGCTGTCCCTTCCCTGCTCAAGGCCTCCCTTGGCTCAGGTGTCACCCCCAGCACCATCCTCTCACCACCCCTTTGGTACTGAAAATGAAGAGCTTCAAACCCTATCAGCTGTTATCAGTGCAGATCAAAATTAATTGCCTTTATCTTTGCCTTGATCCCTTCCCCATGCCAGCACCACAGCCACAGAGCTCTCCCACTCAGCCCCCCTCCCAATCCCATTTTTTATCCCCGTGGAGAGAAAAACACCCAATTCATCCCACCAGAAAGCCACAATCCCATGGTGTTTATGGAATAAACGCCAGCTGGTGCCTTCCCTTTGACATTTAGCTAATAATTGTTGCAGCCAAACGAGCTGACAGTGCTCACTCAGCAGCCCATGAATGCCTCTGGTGTTTGACTGAGCGCTAAAGACAACACTTGCTGCTCTCCAGCTCCTCATCCATGTGGATACACATACACAGCCCCTCCTTCAGCCCCCTCCAGCCTCGGGAATCAGCTGCTTGGCGTGCTTCAGTTTAGCCATTTGTTCCACCTCTAGGCAGCCACCCCTGTGGGCAGCAGGCAGAGGAAGGAGGGCAGGGAAAAAGGAAGCAGGTACCTCCAGCAAGAGGGATGGAATTAGTGCCTCATTAACTGTCCTTTGTGATTATCCAGGCAGCCTCTCTCACAGCATCCTGGTCCTGGTTGTGGCACAACCTCTGTTCACACCTTCAGGTCACATTTAGTCCCCTGATCACGTTTTACCACCGGGGATGTTCCTCCCCTTTAACTGCCACCTGAGCTGATCTGTTTTCCAGAAGATCCACTCTGAGTCCAGGTTCCAGCTGCCTCATGAAAGCCAGGTCAAGGAACTGCCCCCGAACTCCTTCCTTTATCACTCCATGAATCAGGGTTGGAGATCAGGAAAGGTTCTTCCCCCAGAGGTGCTGGGCACTGCCCAGGCTCCCCAGGAATGGGCACAGCCCCGGGGCTGCCAGAGCTCCAGGAGGGTTTGGACAATGATCTCAGGGATGACCAGGGTGGGATTGCTGGGGTGTCTGGGCCCAGTGATTCTTGTGGGACCCTCCCCACTAAATGGGACCTGAAGGTGTAAATAAAGGTTGTGCCACAACCAGAACTGGGATGCTGTGAGAGAGGGGTCGGGGTGTGATGGCTGCCTGGGTAATCACAAAGGGCAGTTAATGAGGAACAAATACATCTGCTGAGAGCTCACAGACCCCATCACCAACCCCTTCTCCTCCTCCCTCAGCGTGTCCTGGTCCTTTCTTAGCTGCAGACTCATACCAAGTCCTCCTGCACACACAGGCATCACCTTTCCTCCCCTGCCAGTCCCCTGGAGTGCCCAGGACCTGCTGGCTCAGGTATTGCCACACCAACCTCCCCAAGGGGCTCAGCACCCGGCTGTCCTGCACGCCAGAGCCTCTTGCTGAAGAGAAATGGGTTTTCAAAGCATCATTTATGGCAGCACAGGCAGCATGAGCTGTGCTCAGCAGGATGGAACAGGGAGCCTGCAGAGCCCCTTCCAATCCATGTGGACAGACACTATCCAACGGCACAAAACCTCCGGGGACACCCCCTGAGCTTTGGAGTGACCTCAGCAGCCCACAGCCACTCCCCAGCCATGCTCTGAGGGTGTTTTCCAGGCTCAGGGAGGCCCCTCTGGAGCTCTGGCACCATCCCCATGCCGACACCGGGCACTGCCAGGCTGAGCTGCACACCCCAGAGCCACCTGCCACGTCCCCTGCCACGCACACGCCACCTCCTGTCCCCATTTCCCACGTCCTTGGGCTGCTCCACGCCAAAGGACACAAAGGCAAACAGTCCAGGAGCCTCCGTGGGCTGTCTGCTGCTGCCTCCTCTGCTGGGGACAGCAGCGGACACTGGAGCGGTGGCACAGGGAGCCTGGCCCGGGGCAGGGCACAAGAGAGGATTTAGGAATCAATCCTCTCTGCTGGCACAGGCAGGGGCAGCCGAGGTACCTGAGCTCACACCTAGAGACCCTCTGCACACACAGTGCCCCCCTCAGCAACACAAAGAAGTTCCCTGTCTTCACTTTGCAGGGCTATTTTTCTAAAATAAATACCTTTGTTTTATCTCAGAGAGGTGTTTCTGGCACAAGGACGGGGATAAAAAGCCCTCCTCCATCAAAAGCCTCCTTCACACATGATTTGCTTTGTCATGGCACTTAAATACCCGCGCAGCTGCCACGGATGGAGAACGAGAGCAGATCTGGGCAGGCACAGGGAAACTTCACAGCAATACCTGCATTCCTTAAAAAAATAAATTTTCTTTTCCTGGTAGCGACGCCAGCCCAGGCCAATGCACTAAACACCAACAAATCCATCTCCATCCCCTGGTGAGCGCTGCCGGAGCTTGCTCCATTTTTAGTCAGCTTCAAATTACATCGCCCATGATGTGCTGCAGGGGAACACCGGCTGGCCAGGGCACAAAGCAGCAGAATGGGGGGGAAATACTCATTCAAGCTGTCAAAGCCGGGACAAGCGAGGCAGCAGGGAAGCAGGGAATGGGTTGGGTTGGGAAGGCCCTGAAGGATCACCTCGTTCCAACCCGCTGCCACGGGCAGGGATGCCCCATAACTCCCGGTTATGGGGTGACGCGGGGTCAGCACGGGGGGCACAGAGCAGCCCAGCGAGCCCCGGGGCGGCAGCGCTGCAGAACAAAGAGCTGCGGGCAGCCGGCGGCGCCGCTCCCCCGGAGCACGGCAGCTCCGGGAGCCACGCGTGCCCTTCACCCGCCGCGACGGGATGCCAGCGCTGTCCTTGGGGACACTGAGCTCTCCGAGGGCGGACAGAAGCCGCCACCACCATCAGCCTCGGGCGGCGGGGCACCGGGCAGCAAGCGGTGCCGCCACGGCCGGTGCCCCGGGCCGGGCCCCGCGGTGGGCAGCTGCGGTGCCCGGTGCCCGGTGCTCACCTGCTCGGCGCCGTAGGCCGTGGCGAACTGCACGAACTCCTCCACTCGCACGAACCCGTCGCCGTCGCGGTCCAGGGCGTCGAAGACCGGGCGGAGGCGCGGCTCCTCCTCCGGCGGGGGCTCGGCGGGGCCCCCCGGGCTGCCCCCGGCCTGCCCCGGGCACCAGGGCGGCGGCCCCGCGCCGGCGGCGGCGGCCTCAAGTGCCCAGAGGTCCAGATCCAGCTCCGGCTCCGGGCCCAGGTCCGCCTCCTCTTCCAGCTCCGGCTCCGGCTCCTCTTCCCGGTCCGGCTCCGGTTCCAGCTCCGGTTCTGGTTCCAGCTCCAGCTCCAGCTCCGGCTCCGGTTCCAGCTCCGGCTCCGGTTCCAGCTCCGGCTCCGGTTCTGGTTCCAGCTCCGGCTCCGGTTCCAGCTCCGGCTCCGGCTCGGGCTCTGGTTCCAGCTCCGGCTCCGGTTCCCGCTGCACGTCCAGGTCCGGCTCCGGTTCCAGCTCCGGTTCCAGCTCCGGTTCCAGCTCCGGCTCGGGCCCGGGTCCCGGCCCCCGGGGCAGCGGGGGCTCGGTCCCAGGCAGACGCGGCTCCATCTTCACCGCCGGCGCTGCGCGCCCACCGCCGCCCGACCCGGGCCATGTCCCGCGGCCATGCCCCGCTCACATCGGGGCGGTGCCGGTGCCGGTACGGTCCCCGCGGCACTCACGGCTTTGTGCGAGAAACGCCGGCCCCGCCCGCCGACACCGGGGGCGGCCCCGCCGGTCCCGCCCCGCCCGGGGAGCGGCGGCTCCGAGCGCCGGGGCTGCGGGTCCTGCCCGGGACCGGAGGTTGGGGGAGGCGGCGGCGGCTCCGAGGAACAACCCCACCGGCCGCCCCCCCGCGCCGCCGCTCCGGGGCCGCGGGGGACAAGCGGCAGCTCCAGCCCGGCCGCCGCCGCAGTAGCCGGGGCGGTGACGTCACTCGCCTGCCGGTCCGCTTCGCCCCGCCCCTCCGCGGCGCGAGCCCGTGCCGAGGCCACGCCCCCTCCCGGCTCGCGCGCGGCGGGGGCGGGGCCGGCGGAGAGGGGCGGGGCCGGAGGGGCGCGAGCGCGTGGGACCGGGGGGGGCGTGAGTGGGGACCCCCAAATCCCCTGCTGGGAAACCGCGCTCCAACCGGGACCCCAAACCCGAACCCTGCTCCGGGACCCCAAACCCGAACCCTGCTCCGGGACCCCAGACCCGAACCCTGCTCTGGGACCCCAAACCTGAACCCTGCTCCGGGACCCCAAACCCAAACCGCGCTCCTGGACCCCAAACCCGAACCCTGCTCCTGGACCCCAAACCCGAACCCTGCTCCGGGACCCCAAACCCGAACCCTGCTCCGGGACCCCAGACCCGAACCCTGCTCCGGGACCCCAAACCCGAACCCTGCTCCGGGACCCCAAACCCGAACCCTGCTCCGGGACCCCAAACCCGAACCGCGCTCCGGGACCCCTAACCGAAACCGCGGTCCGGGACTCCAGACCCAAACCCTGCTCCGGGACCCCAGACCCGAACTCTGCTCCGGGACCCCAAACCCGAACCCTGCTCCGGGACCCCAAACCCGAACCCTGCTCCGGGACCCCAAACCCAAACCCTGCTCCGGGACCCCAAACCGCGCTCCAGGACCCCAAACCCGAACCCTGCTCCGGCACCCCAAACCCGAACCCTGCTCCGGGACCCCAAACCCAGACCGCGCTCGGGGATCCCAAACCCGAACCCTGCTCCGGGACCCCAAACCCAAACCGCGTTCCGGGACCCCAGACCCGAACCCTGCTCCGGGACCCCAAACCCGAACCACGCTCTGGGACCCCAAACCCAAACCGCGCTTGGGAACCCCAAACCAAACCCTGCTTCAGGACCCCAAACCCAAACCACGCTCCAGGACCCCAAACCCCTGTGGGGGGAACTGCACAACGGGACTGCCCAGCTGCTTCAGGTGTGAACTGTGCACTGGAACCCCAAATCCCTCGGGGAGATGAGCTGGGACCCCCAACCCCAGTGGGGCAGCGCTGCACCCCTGGGTGGGCTCCTGCAGCTCCAGGCCACGCCAAGGCTGGGCCCAGAGCTCTGTCCTTCCCCTGCTGCTGGACACACAAGCTCAGCTCCTTCCTGGGGTGGCCACCGAGCCAGGACAGCCCTGACAGTGCCCAAGTCACCTGGGCATGGTGGAACAGCGAAATCCATGGAGCCTCCCAGAGACGAGGCTGCAGCTGGGCAGAAGGGCCAACACACACCACACAAGAACCTTCTCCAGGAGAAAACACATCCCAGGAGCCCAGGCTGAGGATCCACCCAGACTCCAGCCCAAGCACTGCATCCCCATCCCCCTGAAGGGCTGAGCCTCTCACCAAAGCCCTCAGCACCTCCCACCACCTCTGCTGCTGGAACCACCTTCCCAGAGCCCTGGGGCTGAGGAGCTGGCAGGTCCCCAAGCCCCATGGCCTGGAGCACTGGGGCACCACAGAGCCAAGGACTGGAGCCACACAAGGCCCTGGCAGTGGGAGCAGTGGCTTTCTCCCCTCCCTTAGCACCCAGTTTGGACCAGTCAGCTGAGCAGGGCACTGGTGCTCATGCAGCAGAGAGAAGCATCACTGCTCAGGGGGAAAATGTTTTATTTGTGGCCTGGAGGAAGGAGTAAAACCTGGCAAGTCTACAATCAAGTAGGAAATACAATTAAGTGGGAGAACGAGCTTCATGGAATCCAGGGTGAGCCTACGAACTACCAGCAGCAGCAGGAGGGGCACATGAGCAGCGTGTGTCCCCCGGGGTGCCAGCACCAGGAACGGGGCTGGCTCCAGCAGCAACAGCCGTGCAGCCCAGCAGGAGGAAAGGACGAGAGTCCAGTTCTAGCCCTTCACCTTGCCTCAGCTTGAGTAGAAGGAGACAGCGTGACACTGGTGTGACAGACAGACGGGTGTGCACAGACCACTGGACACCTGCAGTGCAGAGCTGGACCTGGGGGGATCTGCCCTCACACCACCTCTGCTCCTGGCAGGGGCATCCCAGCTGCATCCCTGGCAGCCTCCCGGGACCACTGTCCCACCCAGGACCCCTCAGGGGACACAGCCACCTCCCCCTGACAGGGTTTCCCCTCCAGGAGTTGCCAGGGCAGAACTGAGCCCACCATGCTGGGTGACCCCAGGCAGGCTGAGCTGCTCCCCCTCCCAAAAAGGAGCTGCTGCTGGGGGTCTGTGCAGTTCTCAGGCTAAGACAGGGGAGAGGGGACAGGGTACCCATGGGTGGCACTGCTGGGGGCTTGGGAAAGGCCACCAGAGCAGCTTGGAGGGAGCCACAAAGAGCCAGAGACCATCGCAGCCCTCCCAGCTGTCTCTGCACCCACAGCCAGGCCAGCTCAGAAGGCAGCAATGGCACAGGATGGGGGTGGGCTTGGTCCCCACCCAGCACCCAGAGCTGTGTCCCTCAGGCAGACACGGGACTGGCAGTGTCACCAGTACCACCAGTGGCCGAGGAGAGGCTGGGGTTGTCAGCACTGACTCTGGGAGATGTCCTCACACGGTGTCCCACGTCACATCTGTCCGTCAGTCAGTGCCAGGCTGTCCATCAGTGGGGTTGGTTTGCTCCTGCAGCCCAGACATCTGCAAGAGAGGGTGGAGGTGGGGACAGAGCCCTGCTGGGGCCTGCCCAGCTCATGGAGGCTGCCAGGTGGGACACGGGCAGGGAGGAGAGGAAGGCAGGGGAGCCCTTCCCCTGCCAGGCCGCAGGAATTCATGAAAGGAAGAGGCTCTTGGGATTCTCTGTGCTCAATCCTGCTGCTGGGGCACAGAAAATGGGCATGGTGTTGCTTTGGGGGAATCTCAGAGGTGTCTGGACAAGCATCCACAAGACACCATGTCACAAGCTGGGCTCAAAGGGAAAATCCAGCAAGTTAAGCTCATCCCAAGGACTGTCCATGAGGACAGGGCACCCACTGCTACAGCAGCCATGCCCTGGGAGAGTTATGGTAAAAAACATCGTTTAAGTTGGAAAAGCCCTTTAAGAGCATCAAATCCAACTGTTCCCCCAGCACTGCGAAGGCTATCACTGACCCATCTCCCCAGCTGCCACATCCACGCAGTTTTTAAATTCCTCCAGGGATGGGGACTCCCCCATGGCCCTGGGAAGCTGTGCCAGTGCCTGACCACCCCTTCCATGAAGGAATTTTCTCTTAATACCCAAGCTAAACCTCGCCTGGCACAGCTTGAAACTGTTTCCCCTTGTCCCGTCCCTGTTCCCTGGGAGCAGAGCCCGACCCCCCCCCGGCTGTCCCCTCCTGTCAGGAGTTGTGCAGAGCCACAAGGTCCCCCCTGAGGCTCCTTTTCTCCAGGCTGAGCCCCTTCCCAGCTCCCTCAGCCGCTCCTCACAGGACCTGTGCCCTGTGCCCCAGGGACAAGCAGAGTTTCCCTGAGGAGCCCTGCTCCAATCCCACAAGGGGGAAATGCAGTCACCTAGAGTTTAGCAGAGGAGGAGGAGGCAATACCCAGCAAGGCAGAGAAGCTGTTGGGGGAGGTGAGCCAGCTGCCACCATCCACGACCAGGGTGGTGCCAGTGACGTAGGAGGAGAGCGGGCTGGCCAGGAACAGGGCGCTGTGCGCGATCTCCGTCTTGTTCCCCGCGCGCTGCAGCGGGATCGCCGAGAACTGCTTGGATTGCTCGGCAAATTTCCCACCTAAAGGGAGCAGGAGGGAGGACTGTCCACCACCATGGCTGGCCAGGCACTGCAGCACTGCCCGTGGGGCTGGCTGAGTGCTCCAGGAAACTGGGATGAGATCCTGGCACAGCCCTGGGATAAAAATCTAGGAAGGTTTAAAGGAGGGGAGCTGAAGCCCAGCGGGGATTTGGTACTGACACAGCGAGCTCAAGGACCTCATGGAATCATGGAATGGTTGGGGTTGGGAGGGATCTCCCCTTCTCCTCCCCTGCCATGGGCAGAGACACCTTTTACTATCCCAGGTGGCTTCAAGCCCGGTCCAACCAGGCCTGGGCACTTGCAGGAATTCAGGGGCATCCACAGCTGCTCTGGGCACCCTGTGCCAGGGCCTGCCCACCCTCACAACCAGGAATTCCATCCTAATATCCCATCTAACCCTGCCCTCTGGCAGTGGGAAGCCCTGTACAGCACTCCTGGAGCCCCTGTAGGCCCTGGAAGGGATTCTGAGGTCTCCATGGCTCCAGAACAGAGGGGCTCTAACCCTTGGAGCATCTCCATGGCCTCTGCACCCCTCTAAGAGCTCCAGGTCTTTCCCATCCCCTGGGGCTGCACCAGCACTCTGCTGATGGACTACAAGAGCCAACCCCTCAGGCAGGGCTGAGTTTTGGGGGAGCACGTTCCATCGTGGCATCAGAGAGCCCAAACTGCTGCCAAAGCAGTGCCCTGGGAGGTACCAGGGAAGGGCTGTTCCCAGAGAGCTGTGCCAGGCACAGCACAGCAGCAAGCCCCAGGAGCTGTGTGGCACTGGGTGTCCCTCCTGGTGCCCTGGCAGGGCAGTGCCACGCAGGGCCGGGGGCCCAGGCTGCCTCACCCAGGCGTCGGAAGCCCTCGGTGCCTGAGATGGGGCCAGGGGCCAGGCTGTTCACACGGATCTTGTTGGGTCCCCACTCCACTGCAAGGTGACGGGTCATGGCCTCTGGGGAGGGATTGCAACAGCAGTGAGAAACAGGCAGCACAGCCATGCCAGCAGCTCCTTCTGAGGGGAGAAAGAAACCCACAGAAGAGTCTGGCTGAGAGCAAAGGGCCCTGGAAGGGAGAAGAGCCTCATCCCAAACCCACCCATGCAGTAACCACACCAATTCACGCTCGCCCCTCCCCAGGGTATCTTCCATCCCAGTATTTAGGAAGAACTGGCTTCTTTCCTGGCCCCACGTGGCTCAGAGCCCCAGCAGGGTGTGTTGAGGTACCTATGGCAGCCTTGGCAGCCCCAGCATGCACCTGCAGGGCCTGCCCTCGGTAGCTGAGGGTCGCCGTGATGTTAACGATGATCCCACCGTGGTCCTGGGGAAGGGAAGGAGATGTGGAGTTAGGCAGGGAGCAGCACAAAGGGTCACCGAGGGCTCTGGGGGACAGGGGAGCTGGGCTTGGAGGGACAGTCACCCACAGGCACTGCCAAGCCATCACTGGGGCAGCTCTACCCACTGAATCTCAGGGCTGGGGCAGCCACTGGGGCCCTGCTGGAGAGATGGAACATGCAGGGTAGAAGGAAAGGCCAAGGGAAAGTGGCAGAGCTGGAAAGGGAGCAGGAGATCACAGCTTCTCCAGGTGGCAGAGCATGGAAAGGTGCTGCAAGAGCACAAAGACCAGGGCAAGGGACAGAAGAATCCCCAGTTCAGGGCTGGGATCCCTGGAAGGGAACAGAGTGGATCTGTGCAGGGAGGCTCTGGGTCCTTGCACTCCCCTGATTTCCCCAGGAGCACACTGTGGTTTGACACTACCCTCTGCCTACCAGAGCCTCTCCTCAGAGTCCCCTGGCTCCATGCCACCTACCCGGAAATATTTCTCAAAGAGCACTTTGGAGGTGTTGAAGGTGCCCATGGTGTCGATGTCTATCACTGTCTTGAAGGCGTTGAAGGACAGGGCACTGGCTGGGCACAGGAAGTTCCCCGCAGCACCTGAACCACAGGGACAGGCAAGACAGGGCTGGGACAGATGTCAGGGCCCTCCTGTGACAGGGAGGGCGAGGAACAACGTCTGCATGCTGGGGAGCACATGGAGACAGCCCTGCTAAGGGATAAACTGGTGGCTCTGGGTGCCCAGCAGCACCGCCAGCACGAGGGGAGCACACCTAGACAAACAGGGATGGCCATGTACCACACACAGATCTCTGCTCCCTCTGTGCTCCCAGGAAAACACCCTGCCCAGCAGGGAGCCCAAACGCTGCCCCTGCCCTCTGCAGCCTCACCATTAATGAGGATGTCAATCCTCTTGAACTCCTGCAGCGCTTCATCCACCGCCGCCGCGATGCTCTGGGGCTGCCGCACGTCCATGGACACGGGCAGGCACTGCTGCCCCGTGGCTGCCACCAGCTTTTTCGAGGCCTGAAAGAACCAAGAGAGACTTGAGAGAGCCTGGCTGCACCCTGCTAGCCCTGGGGTAGCCAGGGAAAGCTCCTGCACGGCGTATCCCAGCCACACTGGGTGCTGGGCTGGCAAAGCCCATGTGGGAATGCAGAGCTTCCCTCTGGCTGCCCTGGCAGCTCTGGGATCCTGGCAGGGGTCAGGAACCCCCCTGGACAGAGCCCCCAGAGACACTGGCTGTGATCTCTGTCCATGGAAAAGAGTTTTCAATCTCACAGGATGAATTACCAGCTCTGAGTGTTTGATATGAGTAATAATTAAGCGTGGCATGGGTGCAAAAGTAAAATTTTAGGATTCTAGATTAGGGGTCCAAAGGGGACAAGATGGAGGAAATTGGGTGTGTCTTGTCCTTTTTCTCCTTCTTCATGCCCTCCATGTTTCACTGCGGTGTTGGCATTTTTCTGTTGGTTCAGGCTGGGGACACACTGTGCAACGTAGGTGACAGATATTGGCACGTTATTGTAAATCCAGCACAGGTAGTTTGTGGTATTTAATGTTTGTAACATCCCACTGAGGGCAGAGCCCCACACGCTGCCCTGCAGGACAGAGCTGCGGCAGGGCAGCAGAACATGTTAGAGATAAACAGAATAAACAACCTTGAAACAGCACAGACCAATTATGGCTTCTGCTTTGGCAGTGGGGCTGACAGACAGAGACTTTCTACAATCTCAGAATCACCAATACCTCAGATTCTGACAAGCCCAGGTACCTGTGTGGGCTGCCGTGGACACAGAACAGCCCAGGCAACATCTCTGCAGGGCAAGTACAAAGGCTGGACCCCAGCAAGGCATTTTTGGCATGAGCACAGACATAATCACCCTTTAGATCCAAAAAGTCAGTGTGCAAAAGGGCAAAGACGGAGCAGCCAGGTGTCAGGCTGTGAGAGGGACCAGCTCTGCAGCTCAGGGTTTGTCACAAGCCATCCCTATGGCTCATTAAGAGTATGGTTTTCCCCAGGAAATTAAGCACAAGCTCAGCAGCAACTCCACACAACACCCAGAGCTGCTCCAACTTCTGTTTTGGGCTCTGTGAGAGGTCTTGAGCCCCAAAAACACACGGGTGCACGAGCAGCTGGAGTCCTGGACTGCAGATTCTGTGGCCTCAGAAGACTTTGGCCCCTGAGGACTAAAAATCTGCTGAATCAGCTTCTTCTGCACATCAGCATGAGGGGATAGGAAATGACAGCCACCCACACCTGCACCCTCCCCTCTGCCCCAAAACACAGCATGCCTGTGCAACCCACAAGCCACACAGCCCCTGGGTCTGCTCCTCCTCTGTGCTGAGCTTTCAGTCCAACCCTGGGCTGTGCTCTGCTGACAGACCTCCCCCACAGCTCATTTCTGCCTCTCCCCCCTAAAAAGCCACCATGATCATGGGATAGCCCCCACAGAGCAGGTTCCAGGTTAACTGAGCTGTGCTGGAGGTGCCGTGGGTGCAGCCCCCCAAACCTGCACCCACCCTGCCCAGCACTGCCAGAGTGCCCGGGGCTGGCAGCCTGGGGAGCACTGGGAAGCACTGGGGAGCACTGGGAAGCCATTCCTCCTACTGCACTACTCTCAGGGCTCCCAGTCCCACCGTGAGAGAGCAGAAGGATTTTGGGGGCTCTTGGTCCCACCAGGAGAGAGCAGAAGGATTTCCAGGGCTCCTTGTTCTACCAGGAGAGAACAGAAGGATTCTGGGGGCTCCCTGTTCCATTGGGAGAGAGCAGAAGGATTTTGGGGGCTCCCTGTTCCACCAGGAGAGAGCAGATGGATTTCAGGGGCTCTCAGTCCCACCAAGAGAGAGCAGAAGGGTTCCCAGGGCTCCCTGTTCCACCAGGAGAGAGCAGAAGGATTTTGGGGGCTCCCAGTCCCACCAGGAGAGAGCAGAAGGATTTTGGGGGCTCCCTGTTCCACCAGGAGAGAGCAGAAGGATTTTGGGGGCTCCCAGTTCCATTGGGAGAGAGCAGAAGGATTTTGGGGGCTCCCTGTTCCACCAGGAGAGAGCAGAAGGATTTTGGGGGCTCCCTGTTCTAACAGGAGAGAGCAGGAGGATTTCCAGGGCTCCCTGTTCCATTGGGAGAGAGCAGAAGGATTCTGGGGGCTCCCTGTTCCATTGGGAGAGAGCAGAAGGATTTTGGGGGTTCCCTGTTCCACCAGGAGAGAACAGAAGGATTTTGGGGGCTCCCTGTTCCACCTGAGAGAGCAGAAGGATTTCCAGAGTTCCCTGTTCCATTGGGAAAGAGCAGAAGGATTTCAGGGGCTCCCTGTTCCACCAGGAGAGAGCAGAAGGATTTCAGGGGCTCCCTGTTCCATTGGGAGAGAGCAGAAGGATTTTGGGGGCTCCCTGTTCCATTGGGAGAGAGCAGAAGGATTTTAGGGGCTCCCGGTCCCACCAGGAGAGAGCAGATGGATTTTGGGGGCTCCCTGTTCCATTGGGAGAGAGCAGAAGGATTTCCAGGGCTCCCTGTTCTATTGGGAGAGAGCAGAAGGATTTTGGGGGCTCCCAGTTCCACCAGGAGAGAGCAGAAGGATTTTGGGGGCTCCCTGTTCCACCAGGAGAGAGCAGAAAGATTTCAGGGGCTCTCTGTTCCATTGGGAGAGAGCAGAAGGATTTCAGGGGCTCCCTGTTCCATTGGGAGAGAGCAGAAGCATTTCAGGGGCTCCCTGTTCTATTGGGAGAGAGCAGAAGGATTTTGGGGGCTCCCGGTCCCACCAGGAGAGAGCAGAAGGATTTTGGGGGCTCCCTGTCTCACCAGGAGAGAGCAGAAGAATTTCCAGGGCTCCCTATTCTACCAGGAGACAGCAGGAGGATTTCCAGAGCTCCCTGTTCCATTAGGAGAGAGCAGAAGGCTTTTGGGGGCTCCCTGTTCCACCAGGAGAGAGCAGAAGGATTTTGGGGGCTCCCTGTTCCACCAGGAGAGAGCAGAAGGATTTCCAGAGCTCCCTGTTCCATTGGGAGAGAGCAGAAGGATTTCCGGGGCTCCCGGTCCCACCAGGAGACAGCAGAAGGGTTCCCAGCGCTCGCAGCTCCCCGGAGCCCGCACTCACCTCGGCCAGGCGCTGCAGGCTCCTGCTGGCAATGACGGTGCGGCAGCCGTGCCTGCGGGGAAGGGACGGGTGAGAGCGGCCGGGCTGCTCAGCAGCACCCCGGGATCACCGGGGCCGGTGTTCCCCGCAGGAACCGCCGCCTCCGAGCCCCGCCGCCTCCGAGCCCCGCTGCCGGAGCCGCCCTGAGGGCTCGGCCCCCGCACCCCTGGGTGCCACTGGGGTGTCACCCCTGGCTCCTCCGGGGGAAAGAGAGGAGAAGGGGTGAAGAGGAGCAAAGTGAGGGAAAAGAAGAAGGGAATGGAGGACAGAAGGAGGGAGGGCCGTGCCACCTCATGAAGATCTCGGCGATGCGGAAGCCGATGCCGGAGCCGCCGCCGGTGATGAAGGCCACTTGGCCCCTGAGGGACAGAGGCACGGTCAGAGCCGGGCGGCGGGGAGGCGGCCCCCGCGGCCCCCCGGAGCGGCGGGACTCACGCGAGCAGGTCGGGGCAGAGCAGGTGCCGGTACCGGGGCAGACACTCGTCCCCGTCCCCGTCCCCATCCCCGTCCGGCGGCGCGGCCATGGCGGCCTCGGCCATGGCGGGGCGGCCGCTGCTCACTGCGCATGCGCGGGCGCCGCCGCTGTTGCCTGGCAACGGGCGCGCTCCGGGACACAGCGACACCGAGCGGCCACGGCGGGAACTGCAGCGCGGGGCGAACGGGGCCACCCGGGGACAGCAAAGGGACAGCAAAGGGACAGCAAAGGGACAGCAAGGGACAGCAAAGGGACAGCAAGGGACAGCAAAGGGACAGCAAAGGGACAGCAAAGGGACAGCAAGGGACAGCAAAGGGACAGCAAGGGACAGAAAGGGACAGCAAAGGGACAGCAAGGGACAGCACGGGACAGCAAAGGGACAGCAAAGGGACAGCAAGGGACAGCAAAGGGACAGCAAAGGGACAGCAAGGGACAGCAAAGGGACACCCGGGGACAGCAAAGGGACAGCAAAGGGACACCCGGGGACAGCAAAGGGACAGCAAAGGGACAGCAAAGGGACAGCAAGGGACAGCAAAGGGACAGCAAAGGGACAGCAAGGGACAGCAAAGGGACACCCGGGGACAGCAAAGGGACAGCAAAGGGACAGCAAAGGGACACCCGGGGACAGCAAAGGGACAGCAAAGGGACAGCAAAGGGACAGCAAGGGACAGCAAAGGGACAGCAAAGGGACAGCAAGGGACAGCAAGGGACAGCAAAGGGACAGCAAAGGGACAGCAAGGGACAGCAAGGGACAGCAAAGGGACAGCAAAGGGACAGCAAGGGACAGCGAGGGACAGCAAGGGACAGCAAGGGACAGACAGCAAGGGACAGCAAGGGACAGCAAGGGACAGCAAAGGGACAGCAAAGGGACAGCACGGGACAGCAAAGGGACAGCAAAGGGACAGCAAAGGGACAGCAAGGGACAGCAAAGGGACAGCAAAGGGACAGCAAGGGACAGCAAAGGGACACCCGGGGACAGCAAAGGGACAGCAAAGGGACACCCGGGGACAGCAAAGGGACAGCAAAGGGACAGCAAAGGGACAGCAAGGGACAGCAAAGGGACAGCAAAGGGACAGCAAGGGACAGCAAAGGGACACCCGGGGACAGCAAAGGGACAGCAAAGGGACAGCAAAGGGACACCCGGGGACAGCAAAGGGACAGCAAAGGGACAGCAAAGGGACAGCAAGGGACAGCAAAGGGACAGCAAAGGGACAGCAAGGGACAGCAAGGGACAGCAAAGGGACAGCAAAGGGACAGCAAGGGACAGCAAGGGACAGCAAAGGGACAGCAAAGGGACAGCAAAGGGACAGCATGGGACATCCCAGTTACACCCAGTGACACACAGTGACATCCCAGTTACACCCAGTGACATCCCAGTGACACACAGTGACAGCAAGGGACATCCCAGTGACACCCAATGACACCCAGTGAACCCCAGTGACACCCAGTGACACCCTGTGACACCCGGGGACAGCAAGGGACATCCCAGTGACAGCAATGGACATCCCAGTGACACCCCAGTGACATCCAGTGACATCCCAGTGACAGCAATGGACATCCCAGTGACACCCCAGTGATACTCAGTGACACCCAGTGATATCCAGTGACACCCAGTGACAGAAAGGGACATCCCAGTGACACCCAGTGACATCCCAGTTATACCCCAGTGACACCCAGTGCTACCCCAGTGACATCCCAATGCTGTGGCAGCGCTGTCCCAGTGCTCCCAGTGCTCCACACTCACTGCGGTGTCCCGGTGCTTTCCGTAGTGTCCCAGCGGGCCCCGGTGCCACCCAGCGGTGTCTCAGCGCTCCGCAGTGGCATCCCCGCACCTCTCAGCGGTGTCCCGGTGCCACCCAGCGGTGTCCCGGTGCCACCCAGCGGTGTCCCGGTGCCACCCAGCGGTGTCCCGGTGCCACCCAGCGGTGTCGCGGTGTCGCGGTGTCGCCCGGAGCCCGCAGTTTTACAGCTCAGCCCCCGGCCCGGTCTGTTCCCCGGTCTGTTCCCGAGCCCCTGCAGCCCCCCAGGCACAGCCCAGCTCTTCACTGGGCCCCCCAGTACAGTTCCAGCGCTCCCAGGGACATCCCAGTTCATCCCAGAGCTTCCCAGCACTATCCCAGTTTCCCACAGAGCTTCCCAGTACCGATCCAGTGCCCCCCAGGAACAGTCCATGGACTCCCAGAGCTCCTCAGAGCCTCCCAGTACCACCCAGTGCTCCCAGGGACATCCCAGTGACATCCCAGAGCTTCCCAGTACCGACCAGAACCTTCCCCAGATGTACCAGTGACATCCCAGAGCCTCCCAGTGACATCCCAGAGCTTCCCAGTACCGACCAGAACCTTCCACGGATGTACCAGGGACATCCCAGAGCTTCCCAGTACCACCCCAGTGTCCCAGTGACATCCCTGTGCCCCCCAGGGACATCCCAGAGCCTCCCAGTACTGACCAGAACCTTCCACGGGTGTACCAGGGACATCCCAGAGCTTCCCAAACCAGCCCCAGAACTCCCCAGGGACAGCCCAGGGTCTTCTAAGGCTTCTCAGTACCACCCCAGTGCCTCCCAGAGCTCCCAGTACCATCCCAGTATCACCCCAGTGCCTCCCAGAGCTCCCAGTACCACCCCAGTGCCCTCTGGGGACCTCCCAGTGCCCTCCACGATCACCCAGTGCCTCCCCGAGCCCTCCTGTAACAGCCCCGGTGCCCTCTGGTGTTACCTCAGTACATCCCAGAGCTTCAGTACCACCCCGGTGTCCCAGTGACATCCCTGTGCCCCCCAGTGACATCCCAGAGCCTCCCAGTACCGACCAGAACCTTCCACGGGTGTACCAGTGACATCCCAGAGCTTCCCAGTACCGACCAGAACCTTCCACGGGTGTACCAGTGACATCCCAGAGCTCCCCAGTACCGACCAGAACCTTCCACGGATGTACTGGTGACATCCCAGAGCTTCCCAGTACCGACCAGAACCTTCCACGGGTGTACCAGTGACACCCCAGAGCTTCCCAGTACCAACCAGAACCTTCCACGGGTGTACCAGTGACATCCCAGTGCCTCCCAGTACCGACCAGAACCTTCCACGGGTGTACCAGTGACATCCCAGAGCTTCCCAGTACCGACCAGAACCTTCCACGGGTGTACCAGTGACATCCCAGAGATTCCCAAACCAGCCCCAGAACTCCCCAGGGACAGCCCAGGGTCTTCTAAGGCTTCTCAGTACCACCCCAGTGCCTCCCAGAGCTCCCAGTACCACCCCAGTACCATCCCAGTCTCCCAGTACCACCCCAGTGCCCTCTGGGGACCTCCCAGTGTCCTCCACGATCACCCAGTGCCTCCCCGAGCCCTCCTGTAACAGCCCCGGTGCCCTCTGGTGTTACCTCGGTACATCCCAGAGCTTCCCAGTACCACCCCGGTGTCCCAGTGACATCCCTGTGCCCCCCAGTGACATCCCAGAGCCTCCCAGTACCGACCAGAACCTTCCATGGATGTACCAGTGACATCCCAGAGCTTCCCAGTACCACCCCGGTGTCCCAGTAACATCCCTGTGCCCCCCAGGGACATCCCAGAGCTCCCAGTACCACCCCAGTGCCCTCTGGGGACATTCCCAGTGCCGCCCGGAGCGTGCTGGTGACAGGCGAGGGAGGAGAGCGGAGTCAGGGCTGGGGGCTCCGGGGTTTATTGGGGTGGCCCCGCTCCGACCCTAGGGCCCGTAGATGTTGTCCCTGTCGCTGCTGTCCCACGCCACCAGCTCGTCCCGCTGGAACCAGAAGCCGATCTCCCTCTGGGCCGTCTCCACGGAGTCGCTGGCATGGACCACGTTCCTGCGAGGGGACAGCGATGGGGACAGTGCCACGGCCCGGGTCCCGCCCCCCGGCCCTACCTGGCGATGTGCACGCTGAGGTCCCCCCGGATTGTCCCCACGGCGCTGCTGTCCCCAACCATGGCCCGTGTGCACCGCACCACGTCGTAGCCCTCCCACACCTGCGGGACGGGCCCAGCTGAGTCCCCCCGCGTCCCCGCGGCCCTGGGGACCCCCGGGCTGTCCCCTCACCATGGCCACCACCGGCCCCGAGGTCATGTAGGCGACGAGCGCGGGGTAGAATGGCTTCAGCCGCAGCTGCTCGTAGTGCTGCTCCACGAGCCTCCGGTCCGCCTGAGGCAGTGACAGTGACAATGACACCCGGGCAGTGTCCCCGGCCACCCCCCGGCTCCGGTTGTCCCCGCGGCTACCTGGAGCAGCTTCATGGCCACCAGCTTGAAGCCGCGGCGCTCGAAGCGCTGGATGATGTCCCCGAGCAGCCGCCGCTGCAGCGCGTCCGGCTTGGCCACCAGCAGCGTCTTCTCCTGCAGTGCCACGGGGGCTGCGGGGCCGCGGGTCACTGTCACCACCGCGGGTCACTGTCACCACCGCGGGACACGGGAGCCCACGGGACACGGGCACAGCAGCGCCCCGCGGGTCACTGTCACCACCGCGGGACACGGGCACAGCAGGGCCCGCGGGTCACTGTCACCACCGCGGGACACGGGAGCCCACGGGACACGGGCACAGCAGGGCCCCGCGCTGTCCCCGCCGCACCAGGGGCTGTACCCGGCCCGAGGCCGCCGATGGGAACCCGCCCCCATCGCTGTCCCCATCGCTGTCCCCATCGCTGTCCCCATCCCTGTCCCCATCCCATCCTGGGGCGTGTCCCCCGGCCAAGCTGTGCCTCTCAGGCTGGTGGGGTCCCAGGGGACTGTCACAAAGCCCTGACGGGTGTTGGGGACGTGTCCGTGGGCAGGAAATAGCCTTCCAGCCAGCCATGTCTGTGCCGTGTCCCCGTGCTGGGGACTGTCCCCTGCCTGGCCCCGGGGCCTTCCCCCCGCCCGGTCACAGCGCTCCGCTGCTGGGGGAGAAAATCGGTGACCGAGGGACGGCAGGGTCCGGCCCCGCTGTCACCCGAGGGACGGCAGGGTCCGGTCCCGCTGTCACCCGTGGGACGGCAGGGTCCGGTCCCGCTGTCACCCGTGGGACGGCAGGGTCCGGTCCCGCTGTCACCCGTGGGACGGCGCAGGAGGGGACAGAAGCCCCCAGGGGACAGTGCATCCCGTCCGCTGGAGGGACAGAGG